CAGCTGCCATGGGTGAAGTGCAGCTGCCCTGGGCGAGGTGCAGCTGCCCTGGGTGAGCTGCAGCTGCCATGGGCGAGGTGCAGCTGCCCTGGGCGAGGTGCAGCTGCTGGCCTGGGAGAGGTGCAGCTGCCATGGGTGAGGTGCAGCTGCCCTGGGCGAGGTGCAGTTGCCCTGGGAAAGGTGCAGCTGCCATGGACGACGTGCAGCTGCCCTGGGCAAGGTGCAGCTGCCCTGGGAGAGGTGCAGCTGCCCTGGGCAAGGTGCAGCTGCCCTGGGAGAGGTGCAGCTGCCCTGGGCAAGGTGCAGCTGCCCTGGGAGAGGTGCAGCTGCCCTGGGCAAGGTGCAGCTGCCCTGGGAGAGGTGCAGCTGCCCTGGGCAAGGTGCAGCTGCCCTGGGCAAGGTGCAGCTGCCCTGGGTGAGGTGCAGCTGCCCTGGGCAAGGTGCAGCTGCCCTGGGAGAGGTGCAGCTGCCCTGGGAGAGATGCAGCTGCTCTCGGTGAGGTGCAGCTGCTCTGCGCTAGGTGCAGCTGCTCTGCGCTAGGTGCAGCTGCCCTGGGCAAGGTGCAGCTGCCCTGGGAGAGGTGCAGCTGCCCTGGGAGAGATGCAGCTGCTCTCGGTGAGGTGCAGCTGCTCTGGGCTAGGTGCAGCTGCTCTGGGCTAGGTGCAGCTGCCCTGGGTGAGGTGCAGCTGCTCTGGGCTAGGTGCAGCTGCTCTGGGCTAGGTGCAGCTGCGCTGGGCTAGGTGCAGCTGCGCGGGGCTAGGTGCAGCTGCGCGGGGCTAGGTGCAGCTGCTCTGGGCTAGGTGCAGCTGCTCTGGGCTAGGTGCAGCTGCTCTGCTCAAATCTAACAATTTTTAATTCTAAAATATTCTAAGTTTAAAAAAATTTTATGTTTAAAAAATCCTCTTATATTAGACTATAACAAGTCAAGGTAGAGGTAACTGCACTCGTAGTGAGAATACAAGTTAATGGCTTGATACCCAACACGCTGACTTACCAACACAAGAGAGATAAAAGGCTGATCTGTGGCTAATCTGATAAGTTAAAAAATTGCGTTTTTCCACCATTTAACTTCTCAAATCCCTCCTTCAAGAACTACCAAACAAGAGATATGTGACCACCAGATACATGCTTCTACCACCCAAAATACACATTTTTTATCATATTTTTGGCAATAGGAAGTCACTTCAATACACACGGAAATCACAATAGCTTGATGAATCAAATGAATTGCGTCAAACCCTGGGGTCAGATTCACGAAAGCACTTACGCAAGCACTTACGAACGTGTATATCTTTCCTCAATCTTTGACGGGTTTGGTTACATTTATTAAACAGTTTACAAGCATGAAAACTTCCCATTCATCAGTTGTTATTGTTATAAACAGCCTCCTGGGGCTTCGGAGCTCATTAACTGTTTAATAATTGGAAATAAAGCCGCCAAAGATTGAGAAAAGATGTACTGGTTCGCAAGTGCTTACGTAAGTGCTTTCGTGAATCTGGCTCCTGGTTTGTATCTCGGAGAGGCTGCAGGGTCCAAGTAAGGGCGGTAGAACTTCTGGTTTCAACTTCACGTCCACATGCAAGTTAGACAACCTACATATTACATAAATTATGAGAAAGTGAAAGTTGCACTGAAAAATAACAACATTTGCATACAGCATTGTGAGTGGAACAAGTACCAACACGGCCCTGGTACGAGAGCGAGAACTGGAGTGCGCCCAAAAGCTTAAGCTGTCATTGCTTATTGATCAGGAGAAGCCGAAGACACACACACACTCTGTCTTAGTGCACAGACAGGCACGGCAGGAGGTCGCTACCCTCTGTCTTACGCTGAATAATGAGACCGTCGCGCCACTGTCAACATTTAATATATTACTGACGGGAACAGACGGTATTCCGTAGTTTGCAACTAGTTTGCAAGTAAAAGCTGCCCCAACCACTTGTGGTGGAGGGTAGAGCGACGGTCTCGCTTCATGCAGATCGGCGTTCAATCCCCAACCATCCACAAGTAATTGGGCACCATTCCTTTCACCCCCCCTCTGTCCCATCCCAAATCCTTATCCTGACCCCTTTCAAGTGCTACATATAGTCGTAACGGCTTGGCGCTTTCCCCCCTCATAGTTCCCTTCCCTTCTGTAAAGCTGTCAGGGTATTTATGATGCTGGAAGAATTTGAAACAAAAATGCCTTTAGAACTATGATTCCTAATCTCGTTTCTAATGTAGTTATCATCCCATTCTAATCAAGTTATCTTCCCATTCTAATCAAGTTATCTTCCCATTCTAATCAAGTTATCATCCCATTCTAATCAAGTTATCTTCCCATTCTAATCAAGTTATCTTCCCATTCCTATCAAGTTATCTTCCCATTCTAATCAAGTTATCTTCCCATTCTAATTTACACTTAAGTTACTTTTCCGACTATTTCTGCTGACAATGTTACTGAAATATTTGAAGTGTTTATGAAGGTAGATTAAACAGCTTAGCATATCTTATGTCTTAGCATATCTTACGTAACTAGAGCCTATACCTCATAAAGCATATTTGTAGATCAACATTTCTAGCAGAGTCGTAATCTTAATGAGGAGAAAAACCATCGAAGCTTTTAACTTAGATTGAGAGAGAGAGTGAGAGAGAGAGAGAGAGAGAGAGAGAGAGAGAGAGAGAGAGAGAGAGAGAGAGAGAGAGAGAGAGAGAGAGAGAGAGAGAGAGAGAGAGAGAGAGAGAGAGAGAGAGAGAGAGAGAGAGAGAGAGAGAGAGAGAGAGGAGAGAGAGAGAGAGAGAGAGAGAGAGAGAGAGAGAGAGAGAGAGAGAGAGAGAGAGAGAGAGAGAGAGAGAGAGAGAGAGAGAGAGAGAGAGAGAGAGAGAGAGAGGAGAGAGAGAGAGAGAGGGGGGGGAGGCCACTTTCACTATCAAGTTTCTTCTTTATATTGAAAGTTGGAATAAAGATAACCTTAACAACTTTAAAGCAAACTTATATTATAATAATAATAGATAATAAGATAATAAAGATTAACTAAAGATCAAATAAAGATAACTTTAACAAGAACAACGACGTTAAGTACAGGACTTTAAAAAGTCCTGTACTTAACGGACTTTAAAAAGTCCTGTACTTAACGGACTTTAAAAAGTTTTGTACTTAACGTTAAGTTACGTTTTTTACTTTTACGTAAAAAGTTAAGTAAAGACTTTAAAAAAGACTTTAAAGTCTTTTTTGTGCTGCTTATTATTTAGTGGTTATCTTGAGGTTATCTTGAGATGATTTCGGGGCCTAGCGTCCTCGCGGCCCGGTCCTCGACCAGGTCTCCTTTTTGTTACTCATCCCCAGGAAGCAGCCCGTAGCAGCTGTCTAACACCCAGGTACCTATTTACTGCTTTGTGAACAGAGGCATCAGGGTGAGAGTTCCCCCGGCTGCAACCCACAACAGTTCTCTAACTCTCAGGTACTAACTCACTGCTAGATGAACAGATGCATCAGGCTAAAGGAAACGTTTGCCCAAACGCTGCGACCCGACTGTCCTGATCCCCCCCCCACACCAAATCATAAACACTGGGACTGCTAAACACACTTAAATCATCCCAAATCCCACTGTATATCCCACCAACAAACGACGAGTTGGTGGGATATATATATAGTGGGACTTTCAACCCATGTAGTGAAAATGTAGTGAAAATGTAGTCTAATGTAGTCCCATGTAGTGAAAATGTAGTCTCATGTAGTCCTATGTAGGGAAAAGGTAGTCCCATGTAGTGAAAATGTAGTCTAATGTAGTCCCATGTAGTGAAAATGTAGACCCATGTAGTCCCATGTAATGAAAATCTAGTCCCATGTAGTCCCATGTAGTGAAAATGTAGACCCATGTAGTCCCATGTAGTGAAAATGTAGTCTAATGTAGTCCCATGTAGTGAAAATGTTGTCCCATGTAGTCCCATGTAGTGAAAATGTAGTCCCATGTAGTCCCATGTAGTGAAATTGTAGTCCCATGCAGACCCATGTAGTGAAAATGTAGTTCCATGTAGCCCCATGGGAAAAACCACTGTTTTCACCACAGTGACACATGCTTGCAGGGCAGGGCACCCAACTATGCAACTTACATGCAACCAATTTGTGAAATAAGCATCGCATTCTAAACCAAAAAGTGTCGTAGATGTATAAACAGTGTCCCTGGAGCATAATGTCACTGAAGGGACTCTCCTACTGACCTCTAGAAGTTTGTACAGCACTTGCACGCATCTGGGAGCTCATTAGCTGTTTATGCTAACAATTTTGCTTTGGTGTAGACATCGATAGTGTTACTGTGAGCAAAGGTATAGCAGTGACGGGCTCTATTGGGAGCTCTGCACTGTGTAGCAGTGATCGCCTAGCACTCCTGGGACCTCCAGTACCAGCTTTAACAGTGATATAAGACGCTGACTTAACACCACCTGCTGTTAAAAGCTCTCCCAAGAAGCCTCCCGCAGAGATCAGAGAACTAAGCAATATTTAAGACCAAACTTAAGGGCCACCAACACACCCTACTACAAGATACACACACACACACGACTCCTTTACTAAGACTCGTAGACGCCCATTGCTCATCAAATAATATTACGATTTTGCCAGAAATATGTAAAGCAATTGCTGTTTTAAATGAGATATTAACATTTTTTTTAGACGGGCAGAGAGGTAGAAAATATGGACTTTAGGAAGTCTTTGCCGCAGCGGCTGAGGGCCGTGTGTGGGCGAACTCTGAGTTAATATAAATTGTTTTTATGACGTTAATCAAGGTGCTTGGGCGTGTGGTCGGTATGAGCAGCCACGACGGTCTGTGTCTCTGCCACGACGGTCTGTGTCTCTGCCACGACGGTCTGTGTCTCTGCCACGACGGTCTGTGTCTCTGCCACGACGGTCTGTGTCCCTGCCACGACGGTCTGTGTCTCTGCCACGACGGTCTGTGTCCCTGCCACGACGGTCTGTGTCCCCCCACGACGGTCTGTGTCCCTGCCACGACGGTCTGTGTCCCTCACGACGGTCTGTGTCCCTCACGACGGTCTGTGTCCGTGCCACGACGGTCTGTGTCCCTGCCACGACGGTCTGTGTCTCTGCCACGACGGTCTGTGTCTCTGCCACGACGGTCTGTGTCCCTGCCACGACGGTCTGTGTCCCTGCCACGACGGTCTGTGTCTCTGCCACGACGGTCTGTGTCTCTGCCACGACGGTCTGTGTCTCTGCCACGACGGTCTGTGTCTCTGCCACGACGGTCTGTGTCTCTGCCACGACGGTCTGTGTCCCTGCCACGACGGTCTGTGTCTCTGCCACGACGGTCTGTGTCCCTGCCACGACGGTCTGTGTCTCTGCCACGACGGTCTGTGTCCCTGCCACGACGGTCTGTGTCTCTGCCACGACGGTCTGTGTCTCTGCCACGACGGTCTGTGTCTCTGCCACGACGGTCTGTGTCCCTGCCACGACGGTCTGTGTCCCTGCCACGACGGTCTGTGTCCTCTGCCACGACGGTCTGTGTCTCTGCCACGACGGTCTGTGTCTCTGCCACGACGGTCTGTGTCTCTGCCACGACGGTCTGTGTCCCTGCCACGACGGTCTGTGTCTCTGCCACGACGGTCTGTGTCCCCACGACGGTCTGTGTCCCTGCCACGACGGTCTGTGTCCCCCTGCCACGACGGTCTGTGTCTCTGCCACGACGGTTTGTGTCTCTGCCACGACGGTCTGTGTCTCTGCCACGACGGTCTGTGTCTCTGCCACGACGGTCTGTGTCTCTGCCACAACGGTCTGTGTCCCCCACGACGGTCTGTGTCTCTGCCACGACGGTCTGTGTCCCCCACGACGGTCTGTGTCCCTTCCACGACGGTCTGTGTCCCTGCCACGACGGTCTGTGTCTCTGCTACGACGGTCTGTGTCCCTGCCACGACGGTCTGTGTCTCTGCTACGACGGTCTGTGTTCCCCCACGACGGTCTGTGTCCGTGTTACGACGGTCTGTGTCCCTGCCACGACGGTCTGTGTCTCTGCCACGACGGTCAGTGTCTCTGCCACGACGGTCTGTGTCCCTGCTACGACGTTCTGTGTCCCCCACGACGGTCTGTGTCCGTGCCACGACGGTCTGTGTCCCCCACGACGGTCTGTGTCCCTCACGACGGTCTGTGTCCGTGCCACGACGGTCTGTGTCCCTGCCACGACGGTCTGTGTCCCCCACGACGGTCTGTGTCCCTGCCACGACGGTCTGTGTCCCTGCCACGACGGTCTGTGTCCCCCACGACGGTCTGTGTCCCTGCCACGACGGTTTGTGTCCCTGCCACGACGGTCTGTGTCCCCCACGACGGTCTGTGTCCCTGCCACGACGGTCTGTGTCCCTGCCACGACGGTCTGTGTCTCTGCCACGACGGTCTGTGTCCCCCACGACGGTCTGTGTCCCTGCCACGACGGTCTGTGTCCCTGCCACGACGGTCTGTGTCCCTGCTACGACGGTCTGTGCCCTCCACGACTGCCTGTACCCTCCACGACCGCCTGTACCCTCCACGACCGCCTGTACCCTCCACGACCGCCTGTACCCTCCACGATCGCCTGTACCCTCCACGACCGCCTGTACCCTCCACGACGGCCTGTACCCTCCACGATTGCCTGTACCCTCCACGACCGCCTGTACCCTCCACGACCGCCTGTACCCTCCACGACGGCCTGTACCCTCCACGACCGCCTGTACCCTCCACGACCGCCTGTACCCTCCACGACTGCCTGTACCCTCCACAACCGCCTGTACCCTCCACGACCGCCTGTACCCCCCACGACCACCTGTACCCTCCACGATCGCCTGTACCCTCCACGACGGCCTGTACCCTCCACGACCGCCTGTACCCCCCACGACCACCTGTACCCTCCACGACCGCCTGTACCCTCCACGACCGCCTGTACCCTCCACGATCGCCTGTACCCTCCACGACCGCCTGTACCCTCCACGACGGCCTGTACCTTCCACGACCGCCTGTACCCTCCACGACCGCCTGTACCCTCCACGACCGCCTGTACCCTCCACGACCACCTGTACCCTCCACGACGGCCTGTACCCTCCACGACAGCTTGTACCCTCCACGACAGCTTGTACCCTCCACGACGGCCTGTACCCTCCACGACCACCTGTACCCCCCAAGTCCTTGACAGTCCAACATCCAGATGAGTCAAGAACTCCTGGCGGCTGCATAACTCACCCCAACATCATGACCTGAAAGCAAATTAGCTTAACAGGTCCGAGGCAGAAGCAGAAAGCCCTCAGGGGCGCCCAACTGGTGAGATGGTACGACAGCCAAGCTTTCCTGTAAGTCTGAAGTCAATAAGATCAAGTTTTGAGACAACGGAAAGCCGTTAATTTCTTCTGAATTAACCAGCAGAAGACTGAACCCCACGACAGGCTTGCCAGAGCTCTGTCTCAAGCCTATCTGTAGCAGCCGTAGAGCTCTGTATTCCTGGCAATGAAGGAGCTATATATAGAGCCCCTCGTTACCTGACAGTTGCTCTACTCTGCAGACGTGTTGCACTTCGTTATTGCTTTTAGAATTCGAGTCAGGTCGACCTTAAGAACCTGGACAGTTATAATTAGACGGTTTTGAGAGACATTTTTGCATAGATCTGATATCTTGAAAGGTTCCCGTACAGCTATGTTATCCTGTTATTTTGGTAAACTTACAGCACTGATATCATGAGATTTGGTAACCTTACAGCACTGATATCCTGTTTTTGGTAAACTTACAGCACTGATATCATGTTATTTGCACTGATATCCTGTTATTTGGTTACCTTACAGCACTGATATCCTGTTATTTGGTAAACTTACAGCACTGATATCATGTTACTTGGTAACTTTACAGCTTTGATATCCTGTTATTAAGTAACCTTACAGCACTGATTTCCTATCACTAGGTAAGTGTACAGAACTGATATCCTAACAGATAGGCAACCTACAGCATTGACATCCTGTCAGCTAGTAACCGCATGGTTTTGATATCATGAAAAAGAAATAGACAGAGCCCTGACAGTCTGACGGCTCTTAAGAGCAATAGACTGAGACACGTCAATAGCAATGATAGACTGAGAGGCAACCTGTACGCCCTCGTAGCAAGATATCTTGCCAACAGAGTCACTCTGACACTAAGATATATATCTCTCTCTCTCTCTCTCTCTCTCTCTCTCTCTCTCTCTCTCTCTCTCTCTCTCTCTCTCTCTCTCTCTCTCTCCAATTTTGAGACTCTCAGCATCAAGATATCTGGACATTATAGTCTTTTAAGAGACGATCAGATATGTCAGCTCAGACCTGTTTAATGACGCAAACTGGACTGTCTATAATGATTTGGGATAGAACGAGGGGGAAGGAATGGTGCCCAACCACTTAGACGGTCCGGAGTTGAACGCTGATTGTCGCAGAGAGAGAGAGAGAGAGAGAGAGAGAGAGAGAGAGAGAGAGAGAGAGAGAGAGAGAGAGAGAGAGAGAGAGAGAGAGAGAGAGAGAGAGAGAGAGAGAGAGAGAGAGAGAGAGAGAGAGAGAGAGAGAGAGAGAGAGAGAGAGAGAGAGAGAGAGAGAGAGAGAGAGAGAGAGAGAGAGGGGTAGAGAGAGAGAGAGAGAGAGAGAGAGAGAGAGAGAGAGAGAGAGAGAGAGAGAGAGAGAGAGAGAGAGAGAGAGAGAGAGAGAGAGAGAGAGAGAGAGAGAGAGAGAGAGAGAGAGAGAGAGAGAGCGAGAGAGAGAGAGAGAGAGAGAGAGAGATAGAGAGAGAGACAGAGAGAGACAGAGAGAGAGAGAGAGAGAGAGAGAGAGGGAGAGAGAGACAGAGAGAGAGAGAGAGAGAGAGAGAGAGAGAGAGAGAGAAGAGAGAGAGAGGAGAGAGAGAGAGAGAGAGGAGAGAGAGAGAGAGAGTAGAGAGAGAGAGAGAGAGAAGAGAGAGAAGAGAGAGAGAGAGAGAGAGAGAGAGACAGAGACAGAGACAGAGAGACAGAGAGAGAGAGAGAGAGAGAGAGAGAGAGAGAGAGAGAGGAGAGAGAGAGAGAGAGAGAGAGAGAGAGAGAGAGAGAGAGGAGAGAGAGAGAGAAGAGAGAGAGAGGAGAGAGAGAGAGAGAGAGAGAGAGAGAGAGGAGAGAGAGAGAGAGGAGAGAGAGAGAGGAGAGGAGAGAGAGGAGATGAGAGAGAGAGAGAGAGACAGACAGAGACAGAGACAGAGACAGAGACAGAGAGAGAGAACAGAGAGAGAGACAGAGAGAGAGAGAGAGAGAGAGAGAGAGAGAGAGAGAGAGAAGGTAAGGAAAAGGGTGGGTGTGGGAGGGAGGAAGTGGTGAAGAGAGAGAGAGAGTTGGTGTGGGAGGATGATGATGCTGGTGGTGGTGGTGGTGGTGGTGGTGGTGGTAGTGGTGGTGCAGTATCGGTTGGGAACCAGCCCACAGGACCTGTTGTGAGGCCCTGGAGGTGTGAGGAAGAGATCCTGGTGGACGCAGAGGGTGAGAGACGCCCCCGGCCACTTATTGATATAACGGCATATCCAGAGAGAGAAAGAGACAGAGAGAGAGAGAGACAGAGAGAGAGAGACACACACACAGACAGAAGCACAGACACAAGGGGTAGGTGTTGAGATGCCGAACAGGTTTCCATTTATCATTGTTATTTTTCACCCTTTTCTTGGATTTGATTTTGAAGGAATGATGCCGGGTGGCCATATATATATATATATATATATATATATATATATATATATATATATATATATATATATATATATATATATATATATATATATATATATATATATATATATATATATATATATATATATATATATATATATATACCCAAGGGGCCTCCATGCCCCTTGGGCAGTCCAGTACTGTAACCACTCAACCACCGACTGTACAAAAGTATTGTGAAGTCGTAAGACTTATTCCCCAACACCCGACAGCACTCGTGGCATTATTGGGCACATATATAAGTGCCCAATAAGACCAAGAGAGCCGTAAAAGACAGTAAATCTACCTCTCAGGTGAGCTGAGACGAGGATAGAGACAGGAATTGTTCATATGGGAAATCATAAACACCTTCAAAGATTATTTGATCAAGCGTTGCATCGATACCTACGTCATACTGCATGCAGCAGACTCCAACAACTTTGTTGACCACACACCATCCATCATGATATCTTGGTATATATTTCTTAATAGTTGCCTCAGGGGTCCCAACTCCGAGTGGCCTATGATACTCAAATACCCCCCCACCCCCGTATGTGTCATCTTGAAAAGTTGGGTGAGGCTTGCCCCAAACTGACATTTTTATAACAGGAAGATTATTGCAAGAATTGCAAGCATGCTGCATATGGCTGTCCGAGCATCATGACGTAGAAAAAGTCATTATCTGTGCTAGGGTTCAATAAGGTCGCCGGAGTGGACTGGAGTTACGGGTTTAAATTCATTGCCTCCAACAAGGCTATATTATCTTGTCTTTCTGAGGCGTTATATTAAGTGATCCTCAACTAGATCATTAGACAAGGTGCACATGTATTAACTTGCTCACGTCAACCCCCATTAACCTCGTGCATGTTGTGCAAAATGGGAGCTATTTGAATATATTAAATTGAATAGAATTAGGGATATATATATATACCTGGAGGTATACCTTGCTTCTATGTGTATACAGATGGTGAGTTTACTTTATTCCTGGTTTACTGATTGGTCAGTAAAGTATCGTGGTCTTAAGCCTCCCACGGCTGAAACGCCTCAAGTCCGGCAACCAGTCCTCTTAAAAATAACGTCACTTTTGGCCGTTTACCCGTACGGCCGAAAGTGGACGTAATTTGAAAATGAACAAAAAATAAAATAAATTTGGGATCTTTTTTTTTCAACAACAGTAAGTTAAGGATCCTCTGGTAAATTAGGTGGGCAGGAAATTCTCATAAAGTTTCAAATTTTTATGAAAAGTGTTAATTGATAGTTTCATCTCCTAACCTTTCCGAGTAGGCCAACATTGCCACATGTAGAGTGGTTGTATTAGGTTGTATAAAGACGTATTGTATCAGGTTGTATAAAGATGTATTATATCAGGTTGTATAAAGATGTATTATATCAGGTTGTATAAAGACGTATTGTATCAGGTTGTATAAAGACGTATTGTATCATGTTGTATAAAGATGTATTATATCAGGTTGTATAAAGATGTATTATATCAGGTTGTATAAAGACGTATTGTATCAGGTTGTATAAAGACGTATTGTATCATGTTGTATAAAGATGTATTATATCAGGTTGTATAAAGAGGTATTGTATCAGGTTGTATAAAGAGGTATTGTATCAGGTTGTATAAAGACGTATTGTATCATGTTGTATAAAGATGTATTATATCAGGTTGTATAAAGAGGTATTGTATCAGGTTGTATAAAGATGTATTATATCAGGTTGTATAAAGATGTATTATATCAGGTTGTATAAAGAGGTATTGTATCACGTTGTATAAAGAGGTATTGTATCAGGTTGTATAAAGAGGTATTGTATCATGTTGTATAAAGAGGTATTGTATCAGGTTGTATAAAGAGGTATTGTATCAGGTTGTATAAAGAGGTATTGTATCATGTTGTATAAAGAGGTATTGTATCATGCTGTATAAAGAGGTATTGTATCAGGTTGTATAAAGACGTAATGTATCAGGTTGTATAAAGAGGCATTATATCAGGTTGTATAAAGAGGTATTGTATCAGGTTGTATAAAGAGGCATTATATCAGATTGTATAAAGACGTATTGTATCATGTTGTATAAAGAGGTATTGTATCATGCTGTATAAAGAGGTATTGTATCAGATTGTATAAAGACGTAATGTATCAGGTTGTATAAAGAGGCATTATATCAGGTTGTATAAAGAGGTATTGTATCAGGTTGTATAAAGAGGCATTATATCAGATTGTATAAAGACGTATTGTATCAGGTTGTATAAAGAGATATTGTATCAGGTTGTATATATAAAAACCCGTACCAAGTGTTTCTCCCAGGAGCGACAGCACAGAACGCCAGCTTGTCAATTGAAAAACGATACTCAGGCGTCGTAGCGATTGGGCATCCCTACTACAATGGCTAATATTTATTCGATAAGCGGAACAATATTATCGTCGCTGACGAGACTGTGGGAAACATAGAAGATAAACACTGGTGATTATTATCTTAACTGATGAACTTAACTATAGAATATAGTTATAGAAATTGGATCCTATAACGAAATGTTCTAATATACCACAACGTTTTGACCGGACATAACACGAGGTTATGACCGGACCATACCAAGATAATGGTAGATTATACCAAGATAATGGTAGATTATACCAAGATGAGAGTAGATTACACCAAGATGATGGTAGATTACACCAAGATGATGGTAGATTACACCAAGATGAGAGTAGATTGCACCATGATGAAAGTAGATTACCCCAAGATGAAAGTAGATTACACCAAGATGATGGTAGATTACACCAAGATAATGGTAGATTATACCAAGATGAGAGTAGATTATACCAAGATGAGAGTAGATTATACCAAGATGAGAGTAGATTACACCAAGATGATGGTAGATTATACCAAGATGATGGTAGATTACACCAAGATGATGGTAGATTACACCAAGATAATGGTAGATTATACCAAGATGAGAGTAGATTACACCAAGATGATGGTAGATTATACCAAGATGATGGTAGATTACACCAAGATAATGGTAGATTATACCAAGATGATGGTAGATTACACCAAGATAATGGTAGATTATACCAAGATGATGGTAGATTACACCAAGATAATGGTAGATTATACCAAGATGATGGTAGATTACACCAAG